GCGCAAGGAGTGGTTCGACGAAGAGGAGGACGACGGCGTAGATTGGGAGTTGTATGGAGATGGTGAGCAGTAAGTAGTCGAATGGGACTTCGACTCTGGTAGGGGGGTAATGAAACATTTGTCTTTCCGTTCTATTCCATGTACTACTAGCGCCCATACTGGCGCCTGTCTTAGCGCTCACCCGCAGGTTGAACATTATGTAGCTTACATAATGGGGTCCGTGCGCACTTCGTGCATGGTATCGTACCACTATGTTTCTTTCTTCACTAACACGACCACATAGACACGATGGTCCGTGCGCAGTTGGTACTTGTATAAGTAGTTGTACCATTAGTCGGTCGAACCCTAAGTTCGACCTGGTTATTCATTCAAGTCTCTGCTCCTCTTCGCTTGGGGTAGTGGTCATTCTCGACTTCCTCGCTCGATCTTCAGGACGACGTACTGTCCATAAGTCCTCGCTCATCGTCTACGAGTCAGGCATCGATATAGGAGTATAGACCGTTGTATCAGTTGTGACACCCAGTTGCCTTTTACTCAAAGTCACTTGATGTTCATCAGCAGAACTACGAGATATATGACAAAGAGATGCTTGCTATCATTCAAGCACTCAAAGAGTATAGGCATTATTTGAAGGGACATCCGGACAAGTTCGAGATCTGGTCGGATCATCTAAATCTGACTTACTTCAAAACCACCCAAAAGTTAACTAGGAGACAAGCGAGATGGGCTCTGTACCTTATGCGATTCAATTTCATTTTGCACCATAAGCCAGGAAAAACAATGCTTACTGCCAACCCTCTATCCAGGAGGCCAGACCATGAGAAGGGGGTGAACCTTGATAATTGGGATCAAACTTTGTTGAACCAGAGTTTTTTGCAATCAATGCAGTCGAGGCCTCCCATGAGTCACCCGTTAATGGTGATCAGCTCCTGAGGGAAGTAAAGGAAGCACTCCTACATGACAATGTGACCAAGAACTATCAGCAATTGTTGAAGTCAGGTCCTAGAGAATTCGGCAAGTCCCTTGTGGACTGGAACTATGAGAATGGATTGTTGCTTTATCGCGGCAAAGTATATATCCCCAACAGCGAGCAGGACCACTTGCACAGGCGAATAGTTCAAATGCACCATGATCTCCCCTCTGCCGGACATCTGGGAAGGTGGAAGACATACAAACTTGTCTCATGCAACTATTGGTGGCCTAGCATGTTGGTATTTGTCAAGAAGTATGTGACCGGCTGCGACATTTGTCAACGGATGAAGAACTGTCCGCAGCAGCCCTATGGACCATTACAACCCAACTGTGTCCTGAAAGGGCCATGGGAAGTTATGACAGTTGACCTCATCACTCAGCTCCCAGAATCAAATGGTTATAATACCATTTGTGTAGTTGTGGATCGATTGACAAAGCGGGCTCACTTCTACCCAATAACAAACGAGTTCTCGGCAAAAGATCTAGCAGAATTGCTATATAATCGGGTGTATCCGCTTCACGGTTTACCATCCCAGATTATATCCGACCGAGGTGTTCAGTTTGCGGCTACACTGTTCCAGGAATGGTGTAAGCTATTAGGGATAGAGTCCACCATGTCTACCACATACCACCCACAGACTGATGGTCAGACTGAAAGAGTCAACCAAGTTCTGGAGCAATATCTTCGCTGCTACATCGACTATCAACTCGACAACTGGTCAAGGCTACTTAGCTCTGCTGAGTTTGCCTACAACAATGCAGCGCATGAGGGCACCAAGAAGACACCATTCTTCTTGGAATATGGCAGACATTCATGGGCAGGTCCAACACTTATGAAGGAGGTGCAAAGAAGCGACCTCAATGACATTGTTTGGAACCGACAACAAGCACAGAAGCAGGCGAAAGCCGCTCTCAAACTGGCAGCCGAGCGCATGAAGTGGTATTATGACCAAGGAGTCCAGAAAGTCCCCTTCAAGGTGGGCGACAAGGTCTTACTCGACCTCAGAGACTATCAAACCACTGGTCGCAAGCTCAACGCACGGTATTCGGGGCCTTTTGAGATTGTTGAAAAACTCTCTCCAGTCACCTTCAGACTGAAATGGCCACCGAGGTTGACCAAATTACATCTGGTCTTCCATGCCAGTAAGCTTATACCCTACCACGAGGCGGAAATCCCAGGCCAGAAAGGACCAGCTGCAAAGCCGGTTATTGTTGATGGTCATGAAGAATGGGAAGTGGAGAAGATCTTATCCTCTCGCCGGCACTACCGCAAGCTTCAGTACCTCGTACGATGGAAGAATACCACTCCTGACGAGGATACATGGGAACCAGTAGCGAACCTCAAAGGCTCGAAGGAACTCATCAAGGAATATCACAATGCGCACCCGCATGCGATCAGGGCACTTAATGATAATGATGACAAGGTGTTTGCTCTCCTGAAAAGGGATGCAACACTTCGAGTTGAGTTACGAGGAGGCTAGGAACCCAAGAGAAAGACCGATACAGCAGCAGGCTTTGAACTGTATGCAAGTCAAAACCAGGAAGTCGCCAATAACGCAACACTGCAGATTCCAACAGGAATCTGGATACAACTACCAGTTGGCACCTACGGGAGAATTACCCCAGTAGGGAATCTGTTAGCCAAAGGAATCCGAGCACTTGAAGGCATTATCAAGCGGGGTGACCCAGCTAAAGTCAAGGTTGTTGTTACCAACATGG